CCTAACTGTCCTTTTGTGAGGCTCTCCAGCTGATTATTCTGCTAACACAGATAAAAATGCTTTTAGAAACTTTGGAATACTTGTTTGATAGAATCTGTAATAATTAAATTATTCTCATTCTTCAACATTGCAAAATAGGAGAAAACCATCTTATTATTAAAATTTCAAAAGCAACTTTTAATCAATCCCCCTGCTTTCAGCAGACTTCCCATTTTTGAAGCAGCTTGAAGAGGTTGGGTTGACTGCTTAATGGGTCGTAAAGTCCAGAATCTTGCCTTTATTATATGAGTCTTTATTGGGGTGGAAATGAAAATTTAACCATATTCCAACAATATTTCCAGCCTGGGGAAAGTCAGGAGATAATTTTCCTACTGTTGAGGCTGGCATTTTAAAAAGAAAAAGAATCTGAAAGAAACCTTTTAGCTAATCTTTAGAGTGTGAAGGTACATTTCACCACCCCCTGACCACCTAATTGTTCAACCCAGGGGAGGTGTGATGCTCATTACTGTCCTTGCACTCATGTTTTCCATCTGAGGGATGCTGGAGCACAGGGTGGTTTCTGCAGCCAATGATCGAAAGCAGTGGCCATGCTGATCCAGCATGGGAACTGCAGTTCCCTGTCAATGTGCAGTCAGATGGTGCAAATCCTACAGACAGGACACAGGAAGAGCACTGGAGAGGGATGGGAAATGGTATCTGTTTTTCAGATATAATGGGGGGATAGCACTTGGCTAAAAATTACTTTTTCAGTCCAATAGTTGATCTTGTCATACAGTGGGTGACATTTAGGAAAAAAGGAAAGTGAAATTTGGAGAAAGAAAGAAATTTGGATGTGAAATATATGAAGATGTGATGCCTTGGGGCAACTTTAACTTAACACAAAAACTGAAAAAGCAGTAGCACAAAACTGAAAAAATGGTTGCATTTTGCAGGTGGAGTATATGACATGAGGACCGAATGCTTTTAAAAAATCAATATTCACACAGTGGAAATGCAATTTTACTCTTGAGGCAGTCAGCAAAGGAGCACTTGAAAAGCTGCCTTGTGTGAAGGTACATTTCACCACCCCCTGACCACCTAATTGTTCAACCCAGGGGAGGTGTGATGCTCATTACTGTCCTTGCACTCATGTTTTCATCTGAGGGATGCTGGAGCACAGGGTGGTTTCTGCAGCCGATGATTGAAAGCAGTGGCCATGCTGATCCAGCCATGGGAACTGCAGTTCCCTGTCACTGTGCAGTCAGATGGTGCAAATCCTACAGACAGGACACAGGAAGAGCACTGGAGAGGGATGGGAAATGGTATCTGTTTTTCAGATATAATGGGGGGATAGCACTTGGCTAAAAATTACTTTTTCAGTCCAATAGTTGATCTTGTCATACAGTGGGTGACATTTAGGAAAAAAGGAAAGTGAAATTTGGAGGAAGAAAGAAATTTGTATGTGAAATATATGAAGATGTGATGCCTTGGGGCAACTTTATCTTTAACTTAACACAAAAACTGAAAAATAAGTAGCACAAAACTGAAAAAATGGTTGCATTTTGCAGGTGGAGTATATGACATGAGGACCGAATGCTTTTAAAAAATCAATATTCACACAGTGGAAATGCAATTTTACTCTTGAGGCAGTCAGCAAAGGAGCACTTGAAAAGCTGCCTTGTATAGAACCGCAATTTAAGAAACAAATTCGAAACTAAAATGGAAGCATGGCTTCTCAGACAAACAATGTGGTTCCTTTGGTCTTCTGTGCTGGAGTAACAGAAAGACTAACATGCAATACCCTACTGTAATCAGCTTCCTAAACAAAATTAAGTCAGATATAAGGTTAAAATTACACCTCAGCAGCAGAATAAAGGGTAATTAGGAGCGGTGAATGAGTGAATGTGAGGTATCTGAACTTTGTCTCGCAAGAAAGACAATTTAATTTCATTTACATTTAATTTACATTTCTTTGGTAGGCAGCTTTTTTGTATATATTAGAGCAGGTAACTGTAACTCAGACAAGGTACAAGAGACTGTAACTCAGACAAGATATAAACAAAACCTTTAAAAATATTGTATATTAAGACATTCCAATTTAGTGAAAAGATCAATTAACTTTCCCAGTTTTAATCTTAAAACATCCTGAAGCTGTAGCAGTCAAATAAAATTTCAGTGACATCAGTCTCAACAAAAATTTAATAGGAAATACTTTTATGTACAACTGAGAGAAAAGAGACAAGGTAATGATTTGAAGACCTTTTCCATATTGTATTTCTAAAATTATTTACTTTTAAGTTCTCAGTCTTCGCTCTATATCACTAGATTATTACTATTGCATTGGCTAAAAAAAACGAACCAAATCAACAAAATAGGGGTATTTTTATTTATGGAAATGTCTGATTTATTATATACACCACATTGCTATGTAGTAGTTTAAAAACTGACATTCTCTAGGCATGTAAATGAAACAGAAAATCAAAACCACATATTTTTGACACTTTGTGTACTGCAGAATGACTCTACAATAACTGTGTTAAATGATTCTGTTCGCCACTTTCTGTTTAATTTAGAAGGGCTCATTTCCATGGACTGCTGGGCAAGCTCAGTGTAGGATCTGCAGGCCGAGTCCTGTTCTGAGAGTCACCACACCAATTATCCATCCCCCAGCTGCAATAGGATTAACAATTCCATCAATGGCTCACCCGTGGTGCTGTGCTCCCCAGAGCAGAGCCACGCCAGCTCTGTCACACCAGCAGTGCGCCCAGCAAGAGCCCTGCTCACACAGCCACTGATGTCTCGGCTGTCCCTTGGCTTGGTGGCAGCCAGTGGCAGTGTGGCCATGGCAGCACAGGCTTTGGCACAGCAGTGACATCTGCCTGGGGGCTCAGATGGTGCTGCAGGCCTGAGGGCAGCTCTGCGTTGCCTTTTCCATAGTGTGTGATGGTAGCCCACTACACCAGGCTGTATTCCCAGTCTTGGTAGCTTTAGGCTAAATCAGCAGAAACCACATTCATAACTTTGTCTTAAATGAAGAATCATCCTAGGGAAGGTTAGGTGGGGGGATAGGACTCAATACATGAACAATTCTCTAGGCATAATTATTTTATATTTCTCTAAAGGGCTAAGTAGTTGCTGATTTAAAAGGACACTCCTTTTATTCTGTTATAATATTCCATTATCTCTGATGATCAGGAAAGCTGTTTAATCATTGCTTTTTCATTCCAAATTGAATATATAAGTAATAATATGCGCTTCATCAAGCAAAACCATTAATGGGATCAATAGAACCAGTCAGTAAATATTAACATTTTGAACCTTATAATCACAGAGTTTACAATTTCTGAGTTTATGGGTAACTAAGTTCACTTTTATACTTAAAGGCTGGTAGGGACTTGAGTGGTTGTTGATGAATACAAGTATGGTAAATTAGTACAGATCGGGAAGAATGATAAAGTTTGGCATAGAATGTGCAACCATTTTTGTGAGTGTGGAGTTATGGCTATGATTGGTCACTTTCTGCAGCAGATGTACAGTCTAACTTGCATGAGTATTTTTGTCTTGTTCATTTCCCTGTCTTAAAATGAGCAAAATAACTTACTATTTCTACATGTAAAAATAATTTCTGAGGAAAGGCACTGAAATGCTATTTCGAAATCCTATTGAGATATATCTGAAATCCTATTCAGATACTGCACAGTCTTTCAGAATATTTCCCAGTGTAACATCCCTTGCAAGAGAGCAGAAACAAATGATCTGTGTAGCTCATGAAAGATAGTTCTTCTAAAACTATTAGAAAGGGAGCAGTTTAACAGCTAAACCTGGACACCCTTCTCTTGCAGTATACTACACAGGTCTGCCATTTTACGTTATGGTTTATTTTCTACATGTGGCTGAGTCCTATGTCGCTATCCCCAAGAGTTCAACAAGCCACTGATGTGTTAGGTAGATTATTTTTTCACATTGTTTTCTTTCAGTCCTGTCTGTGCTGCTCTTTGTCTGTACTGCTCTGTACTGTCTTATTTCCAAAGAATCACCTGGTGATCATTGAAAATTAATCTTGAAGTACTATTTCCCCGAAAAGGTTACCAGTAGCAACCCATCGATTTCTCTATACACAGAAATGCCTGTATATAAAGAGAAGGAAAAATATCTTTCTGCTATTTACTATATTTGCTTATAGTGCCATGCAGGGTGGCACAGATTTAACATTAATTTAGCATTAATGTGTAACAAAAACAAATATCCATCGTATATTGTTAAGATCAAACCTGAATACTGCTGCATGATACTGTCTATGTTGTATGGGCTTACTGCTCATCACCAGTCACCTGTCAGTTCTATGTTTGATATTACTGTTAACAAGTTCAAATACCTTTGTAATCTTTTAGTTTCTGAAGCAAATGTACATTTTCTCTACAAATCACCTCTTGTCCAGTCCCATCCTTTCAGACTTCCCAGCCCAGCAGTTCAGCAAGATGCGGGTTTGTTTGCACAGCTGCAACATCACTTTGTCTTTTGATTTGATAATCTTATCTATTTACTTAGAAAAGAAAAAAATTAACATTTGTCAGTTAGAAGTTCTTGTAAACAGGCTAGGCCCCAAAAGAGACTTGCACTTTATAGATAGCATGCAGCACATTCTGTCTCCTGTTTAATCTTTCATGAGCTCAATAATCATAGGCAAGTCACTAATCTCTCTGCTTTCCTTTCTGTACTGGTGAAACAGTTGTGGTAAGAATATTCTGTGAGGGTTTAGATGTCTTTTCTAAGCTTTGTGAAACTTCTGGACACGCTGGAAATTCTGTACAAGTTGAAATTAAGGACTGAGATAGTAAAGCAGAGTAAAATTAATAGATACCAAGACATAATTTCTATTCTGTATCAGGAAAAACTTCATTTCAAAAGTTCAGGCAGCGTGGTGACAAAGGCAGTTTAGATAGCAGGAGGGACCAGGTCCATAGCTGCTCTGTGGTCGCATGTCACAACAACACCATGTCTTTGTCCCTTTGCTCTTGCAGTACCGGTCAGGGCGGGATCCTCACCGAGGCTCAGACAATGTTTCCAACAAGTCCTCGGACAGCGACGTCAGCGACGTCTCGGCCGTGTCCCGGACCAGCAGCGCTTCCCGCTTCAGCAGCACGAGCTACATGTCCGTGCAGTCGGAGCGCCCAAGGGGAAACAAGAAAATCAGGTGAGCATGATCAGCTGTGGTGTCAGCCGTAGTAATGGAGCTGTGTCATTTTAGTAATGGAACACTTATCAATATTTGTATTTGACATGAGCATTTCGCCCAGAATGACATTTGCAGGGATTTTGCAAAATTCTGGCTTAAATGCCTTTTTTACGCAATGCTTCTTGAAGTCTTCATGGAATTTGTTTTTAGCCAAGTTTTGTTGTTTTGGATTATCTAACATACACTGAAATAACAAACATATGTTGTCAGCAAGCATTAGACACGCTTTCTGAAAACCATTTTGTAAAATATACTTAATATGGCTGAAAAGACGGTTTAACTCGAAAATTTGTGCCAGCAGAGGCATCTTATTTTTCTTTTCAGTAGAACACTGAACTTTTATAGATGTATTATTTAATACTTACAGAGACCCATTCAGTTTATTTAATACTTACACTAGTCCAATTCAACTGTAAGTGTCCAATCATTGAGCTGCTCTTCAACAAGATGAACATTGTGTATCTGTGACCAAAACACAGCATTTTCTTTGCCTGCACCCTGTGTGCACTCAGAGGAGCTTTGGGTTTCATTTGATGCACAAATTAAAGATAATTTTTCTGGAAGGTGTAGGCCACCTCCATCACCTATAATAATTCTCAGAAAATTGTCCTCTTAAAAGAAAGCATTTGCAAATTTAAGCATCTGCTCATATGAGCATTCTTAGGACCACACAGTTTCTGTCACACATTTCTTTCTAAATGTGAGGTATTGCCATGCAAATTTTATTTGAATAGGGCCTTACTAAGGAAATGCTCCAAAGCTCTCTAGTGTAGGCTGGACTCCTAGCAAGCATGACTTACATTATGTGTGCTTCTATTCTTTTGTTTTTATTTCATTTCTTTTGCATTTCCTTTCTTCATGCATGCTCTTCTCCTAACTAATTTAGTCTTTTCTTTTTTCTTTTTGCATGCCTTTTCAATTTTTGTTGACTTCAGAAGGACAAGGGATATAGAGGGGAAAAAAGAGGGAGGGCTGGAAGGGGATGAACAAGATGAAGTATTTCCTGAGGAGGAAGAAAAAGAGGAGAATGAAAAAGCAAAAGAGCAAGAAATTAATGAAAAAGGGGAAGGGCAAGAGGTGACAGAGAACTGTGATAAGGAGGAGATCAAAGAATCAGGGCATGATGAAAAAGGTCAAGACCAAGCTGAGGAAGGGAAAGAGGATGACAGGTAAAATATATTTCTGTTTATGTAGTTCTATTCTTTTTCCTTTACCAGCACCCTACTTGTCTTCCCTTTTTATTCCCTTTGCTTGCTTATTGCTTATGCTCTCTGCAGCTCTTTTTCTGTTTGTTTTTGCTTTCAGTCATCATGCTTTCATATTTAATCAAATTTCATTCTCAGCTTCAATGAACTTGTTCTGCATACCAAATGAGGCAGCACACCAACTTGACTCATTGATATGCATACAACTGCAGCATATTATTTTTTAAATTAGTTTAGACTAAAGTTTGGGTTTGACTGTAATAAACAGTTGAAATTGTAAGTTTCTTTATTAAATTTCCTACTTGAATTATTATTTAATGGAGAAATGCTTTGTTGAGTGAAAACTCAGCAATATCAAAATTATCTTTACTTATATTTATGGCCATACTAAAGAAGAAAAATTGGATTTTTTTTCCAGTCCTCTTTGTGTCTTTGTGGCGTATACTGATTGACAGTCAATGTGGATAAAGCAGAGTCTTCCTTTTTTTTTTTTTGTTTATTTTGGGTTTGTTTTTGTTTTTGTGAATAACTGTCAAGGATTTCTGTATTGTGGAAGGATCATGCACTTCAGCTGCTGTGTTGTACCCAGAAACATTGCAACACAACTGGCTCTGATTTTATCAGAAAATATTCTAGAATTATACATTTTGCCCCAAATCCTTAAAACAATGTAAATGTCTGACATTTTGTATTGAAAAATCCATGTATGTTGCATTGAGAGGAATACAACATTCCTCTTTTCTTCATTAGAAAAATTAGTTTCAGATTTTAGGAGTATTCTTGAACTCATTCTCAGTCACAAAAGAATGGCAGAAAATCTCAGAAAAAATACATTTTTTTTAGCCTGAAAATTCTGTACTACTTCTAAATAACTTATGTCTGTAAAATTGTACTCATATACATTAGGGTAAGCACAGAGCAATCCGTGGAAATCCATTTTCTTTCCTTGCTACACACGTACACATGTGCATGCTTGTATATGCTCACATACATAACATACTAAAACAAAGGGGATTCAAAGAGAGAATAAAAATGCCTAGTGTAGTCTTGGGTGATATGAACTAACATAGCCATACTACTGCCTTTATGTATTGTGCCATCATTTCTTCACTTATGTTCATGCTTTTTAGATTTTAGCAAAAACAGTTGTTTAGAACCAGCTGTCTTTAAGAGTGCCTTAGCATATGTGTTCCAGAGACTGTTGTATGGTAGTGTGTGAAAGAATTATTTAAAGACCGTTTTCTCTTCAATTTCCCACTAATTTCCCAGTCTGATAGATCTGAAAGTCCTGCCTTTCTGGGGCATGACTCTATTCCAGGTTTCTAGATTTCACTCAAGCTGGTGTTTAGCCAATATGCTGTCTCCCATAGAAAGTAAACTCCTTTTTGAGGAACAATTCCTTGTTTCCTGAGCCAGCTTGTTCTTCTGGTTGCTAGCTGCTCTCTGCCTTCAGGAAGAAGTGACATGAGTCAGGAATCTCTATAAAGAAAAAAGATGTTATTAAGTGACTGTTGTGTAGTGACTTTTGTTTGTGTTAGATTTTGGCTCCCTTCATGGAAACCAGTCTCTAACATTATTTCTCCACTTTGCACATTTTGACCACTTTTAGTATGCAAGTTGTGAAAGAACAGAAAAGTTTATATTCACCTCCTTTACTATGGTAGAGTCAGTGCTCATTTCTTAGCATTGTCTGAGCATTTTTCTAGGGTAAGAATGAAACAGAAAAGCCAGATTGATTCCTGAATAGGAGCAGCTTTAAATATATATACACATTTATATACACACATAGCTGTGCCTCCTTAACATATTGAAATATTATGACTTGTGTATTCAGTGGACAAGCCTGAAGGAAGGATCTGTTGTCAGCATTTTTGAGAATTCAGTGCCTTCTGCTCATTTCTCTGTCAATTTTTAAAATAACAGACACTTGGAAATTTTTAAGATAAGGTAATGACTTCAGTTTCCAAAAAATAATGTTTTCAGACACACAAATATTAAAAGTAACCAAATATATCAATTGAACATATCAATAGATATTTGAGAGACCCAGCAGAACAAAGGCAGCCAGTTCTTCCTTGATAGAATAGTAATAAATTATCATGTAGTTCTTGACATCTTGGGCATCAAGGAAAGTTATATTGCAGATGGGAGTTTTCAAGATGTTTTTTACTTCAGAGGTGCATCTGTAGTTGGACAGCAGCCACCTTTCCTCTGGGCACTGTGGAATGCAGGGGCTGCTCACAATCACTCCATCATCAAAAATTACCTTGTTAAGGATACCTAATACCTCTTGATGTTACTGTGTTTATGCACTTCAGGAGTAATGGTAATAGTCCCACTAAGGTCTTCAATCTGCTGAGATCATGGGTGGGTTGAAATGACTGTAAACACAGACGTACATCACTAATTCATCCCATGCCTATTTCAAAGAGTACCTTGGCACAATAAAAGGCATTTTGCTTTTGGAGCACTGGGGTACATCAAATCAGTTAAATTTTTTGGCAGAAATAGTTGCAGCATCAGATTTTGCCTTAATTAAACCTTGTAAAACTAAACTTTGGCATATGCTTGACATGTAGGGAAATCGTAATTCTGTTCTTTCTCTGCAGTACACGTTAGCAAGCAAAGGGTGGCTCAAGCTTTGCTGTTGAGTATTTATTGTATAGAGTTCACTAACTTTTTTTCTTACTCCATCTCCTTGATAATCTCAGGGCCAAAAATAAAACCTTTTTAGATACAATCTTTGATCATTAATACTTTTTATTGAAGGTAATCTGTTTAAGATTGCCCTAAATTTTATCCCGTCTTAATATTTTTTTAAATATCAATCCCGAGCATTAATTCTGATAGTCACAATAGTTTTGTTTTACCATGTGAGTACACAGCAAATGTAATGACAGAGCAGGATTTCACTGTTGAAATACAGTAGAAAAATAAAACTTCTTTTCCAAGCGCACAGAGTCTAATTAATGAAATAACATGAGTCCAGAGAGGGAAGCACTGAAGAAACAAGAGATGTTCTACAGGAGATAGATACAACACAGTGTTGGGGACATCTTGACAACAGAGAATAAATGCTAAGAGGATAATTGAGGAGACAAAATAAGATATCTTTGTGAATGTTTCTTGAGAGCTGTTTTCAAACATTCAAGACAATGAGGACAAAACATGAGGTGCTTGCTAAAAATATATCAAGAGCATGAGGGGCAAGTTGGATGATCAGGAGTTGATCTTTCAGTCTTGAATGAGAGATGATATATATGATTAGGAACAAGTATCAAGATACTAGGAAATAAGGATGAATTATGCACAACTGTATAAAAGAGAGTGCAACTTTTTACTGGTATGTGGAGGAAGATGAGACAACCAAATAGAAAGGCTATGAAACTTACCTCTTCTCTAGTATCCTGGAAGGGGTTATTGGGTAAATTGCCAGGGCTGGAGAAAAGCTCTGCAGTATCTGTCATTTGAAATGGTGAAAGAGAGTGGACAAATAAATTGTCTGTGTGGGTGGACAGAGAGGGCAGAGATGGGAACAAAAAGCATGTGCAAGTCACCAAGTTTTGCTATGTATTTGGAAGGAATTAGTGATATCCTGTTTGAGAAAAGAAAGTGAATTCTAAAAAGATTATATAACGAATAGAGCTGGCTAACTAAGAAGATGACACAACCAAGAAAGGAAAATTTGTAGTGGAAAAATTCAGCTGGGATGTAATTTTGTAGAGCACTTAAACATTCAAAAAACAGAGTGCA